TTGTGTTTTAGTCATCTGAATGGTGAACACTCACGAGATCAAGGCTGTACTGATAATTGTTTTCTATTAAAAGTGTTTTAATTATATACAGTCCTTATAGAAATAACATGAGCTGCTGTGTTTTACTGAACATCTGCTATAATTCTCTTTGCACTCATTCTGTAGATTCACAACAGTGTAGTGTTGTTTGATTATGCGAAATGTGAAAATTAAACAATCATGTATTATTGTACTTTACCAGCAGAGACAACAGGAGAATCAGAACGGCCAAAGTAAAAACTGTCTAAAGGTAGAAGACAGAAAGAAGGACAAACACAAAAACAAGTGTAAACATCATTACGGCAAACATGGTGGAAAGATTTGGTGACAAAAATTCTTGGTACTCATTAGTTAGTAAAACACCATGTTGATAGACGGCAGTATAGCGTCTACCACAATTGTGGTACCAGTAGTTATTGTACATAAACACTGATGCTAATGCTAGCTAAAGAGCTACTGAATGCACCTTTAAAAAGTCTTTAAATGGCGCCAAAAGATCATTTGGTTTATGCTCAACAAAGCTTGTCAGATTGTGCCCTAAAAATTAAATAGAAATTATTTTTAAAATGTCAACGCTTACACAACCCCCTGCCCCCACCCTGACACCAAATATATTGTACAATTCACAAACTGATCTTATATAATTCCTAACAGCACTGTAAAGCACTTCAAAAAGGAAAAACATGCAGCTACGTTAGCTGATTAAACCTTTAAATGTCATTCATGAAACCCAATGTGCTCAGGTTGATTCAGCTGAACCAGTTTTGCACACCAGTTAAGTTTGATGTTACCACAAGAACAACATTTTATAGGTCCCACAGTTTAACCCAACACAGATTTGTAGTTTCAATGCTTTTCAGCAGTCTTCGGTTCGTGTTTTCCACTCTCGTTCTGTAATTGCGCTTTAACAGAGCGGAGCTGTTCCCCCCTGGAGTCCACACTCACTTCACCTCTACAAATATTACACATGTGTTTACAGTGTTTTTTTCTCCATTACATACCACAGAGTTCCCTAATGTGACTATAATGAAGCATTCACAGAGAATGTGAAAACAGAATCTATCCTTTCGTCAGCAGAAATGTTTGTTCACCCAGGAAAACCGGTGGTTCGTACATATTTATTCAACCCTGTTTCTCAATTATGCGTCTGAGAGGGTTCTGTATTTTTTCTGGGATGCGCATCACTGGAGCGAGAGTGTAGGGCCGTTAGGATCACTGCCCACTCCACGCTCAGTAATTATCAGTGTGTGTATGTGTGCGAGCTGAAGGTACACTCAGCTATAACTCTCTTAGAAGATGAATGAGGAGGCAGTGGTCTGGTTGCTTTGTTTTCGTTTTTTACCTCATCGCCGACGGCGCCTCTCTTACTGTTTACACCAAACGTGCTCAGCTCAAAAACAAAGACGTTTAGTTGTAGAACACTCACACACACGCGTGCCGTATCACACCCCCGAGTCAAAACACTACCCAGAGAATACTAGCTGGTCCACGGTGAGGAGAGACGGAGTGACTGTGCAGCTTTGGCTGTAGACCCAAATTCAGCACAGTGACCACAGCTATTACCGCTATTAGCATGCTGTGCTACATCTAGACTCTGACCCATGAGAATAAGTGTACGTATAGCATAGCGACTTTCAGCAATACAATGCTTAAATATCAGCTCTCTCTCTCTTTCTCTGTGCTGTATAACTAGGCCAAGCTGAGGTAACAGGGTGTCATCAGTGTTGCAGAGCAGTTATGGAGAGAGAGGGATGTCTAACACACACATACACACAGATAATGCTAGCTCACAGGCTAATTTCCCCACACACTTTTTTTTACAAAACAAAGTACACACTTCTTGGAACACTTCTTGTAGAAATAATGGGAGAACACTGTAGCTTGTAGTAAAATGGGGTTAATGTCCATACTTTCTAATGTGCAGTGGGCTGAAAGTGTGTAATGGCATTTGCTGTAGAAGTCTTATTAAACTTAATCCATGGAAATAAGCCAGTTTAATTTGGTTTTATCACGTTGCATATCCGCCCCGTGCTGCTACCGATGCTAATGCAGTTAGGCAGCTTTCTCAGTACGCTGAAACTGGGTGGAAGAAGCACTTTTCATTTCTCTGCACAGTGAGCACCCCGGAGTGAATGGAAAAGCACATGATATAATCCTGTAGCGTTAAACACCAAGGCAAAAGAAACATTAGAACTTAGAAACATTGCCAAGTTACGAAACATGTTACCTGTTTCTGATGCAGAAAAGCTAGTTCATGCATTCAATGCCTCTAGACTGGACTATTGTAATGCACTGCTAGGTGATTGTCCTGCATCTTCAATAAACAAGCTACAGGTAGTCCAAAATGAAGTGGCTAGAGTCCTTACCAGGTCAAGAAAAAATTATCATATTACCCCATTTTTACTAGGATTTACACAAGCTTCAGTTTGGATCCAGAACACCTGAGAAGAGATGATGCCAACCCCTCAGAGGACCTCAGATGATGCCAACCCTGAAACAACATACAGAACTACCACATTTTGCTATATGTTTGATTGCATCATATAATAATTGCTGTTAATAGTGTTCATCGTCTGTTTGATTACGTCTTTAATTGATTTTTCCGTACATTTCTGCCATTTGTACATTATCTGAGTCACCACTGATAGGCTACTACTAAATATTGTAGAAACTTAATTTGCTGTAAAGTTGCTTTGCAACGATTTGTATCGTGAAAAGCGTTATACAAATAAACTTGAATTGAATTGAATTGAATAAGCAGGCCCACGCAAAACCAGTGTGTGCAAAATGCCCTTTGCATGTTGGTTTATTCTACTTACCAATAAGACTGTAGTATTTGGACAGTTTACCATGCGTTTTCCTCAAACTTCAGTGCAAAACATGCTAAAAAAAGTCAGTAAATTTAGCTTTTGCATAAATACGTGTGATTAAAGCTAATATGTTCACACTGTATGATGTTGGCCACAAAGACATAATCAGATTTATTTTACTTTAACTATATAATAATATTAATTGTATTAGTAATAATATATTAATTTGAATAATTTTAAGGTATCCTTCGGCCGTCTTGGAAGTTTGTTGAGGCCCCCTAGTAGGTCCCGACCTAGGGTGCGTTTCCCAAAAACAACTGGTCGCAAGATCCGTCGGTGCCAATACAATTCAATGGAACTAACAACCATAGTTAACTAATGATGGTTTTGGGAAACGCACCTCTGCGTGGTTGAGAACCACTATTGTATGGAAAATTTATCAGTCTTTATCACTAATCAAACTGTAAATGTTTGCATTTGCATGGCTGTACTGGGATAAAATCAATCAATTTATAGGGGATGTGTGAGTTCTGTTCTTCTATGAACGCCGAAATTTGTAGTCAGTCACACGGCCATGTTCAACATGGCGCAAAGCATGATGATTATATAGCCCTATAAGTAAAATATAATTGATAATATTTGTATATACAGATATGGAACGTGGGGTATGCAAACTGCATTGGGGTGAAACTCAAAGAGGGGAAAAATGCTCATATCTAGGGGGTGTCCAATGGCTGTAAAAATCGTACTGTGTGTGCCAGCTTAAAAACAAGCTTCAGATTTTCATATAATCACAGACAACCGCTGTAAAATGTGTCAAGAGTGTGTGAGTGATTGAGATTGAGATAGGAGTACCAATAAATAAGAGGCTCTCAGGCAGGTGGGCTGCTGCTGGTTTATATTTTTAATTTGATTTTGATTTAGGCCAAATTTGTATTCTGCCCCAAGCTACTTATTAGTGTGAACAGTACCTGTAAACTAGGTCAATTCCTGCATTTTTTCATAGGTTTTACAACCAGTAGAGCCAGATAACAAACTGATACATCAACACACTCATTTACATCCCCACTGTTGCTCTAATTTACCGTTCAGTCAGAGCTGACATACCTAACCGTGACCTAACCACCTCATCCATTCTAATATGAAGTAAAAAAATGAAGTGTGTATGTGTGTGAGAGAAAGAGAGACCGAGTGTGTGTGTGACAGTGAGAGATGCTGAGATTGAATGGTGTCAAAATGCAGGCATATTGAGGTCATTTTGAAAAAGTGCTGCTAATTACAGCAGATGGAATGAAAAGAAACAGGGGACTAGACTGGGCTCCATGTATGATGCTGAAAGAGGGAGGAGAACGAAAAATCAGAGGGGGAGAAACAGACGGAGACTCCCTGATAGAAATATGCAGGAGTGTGAGAGAACGGGGAAGTGATGGAAAGAGACACACGAGGAGAGAGAGAGAGAGAGGTTCTGTGAGGACAAAAGCACAAACCTGACCAAATTTCTACAACATACAGCAGATATGAAACTGTACAAGACTCATATTTGGAGCAGACGTCTCTCTTTGTCACATCAGTATGTACATCTTAGAGTTTTCAGTGATCAATAATATGTTTTTGGCTGACTTTGACATTACAGTTGGGGCTTGAGGCATAAAACTCTGCTTTATTTTATTTTATTTTATTTTTTACTACATTGACAAAAAGTCCACAGATGAGGACTACAAAGCATTAACCCTATTCAGCAAACATCTACCTAACCTACATGTGGTTGTTTTCAAGATCAAGACACCTAGGAAATCTATCAGTCCTACTTAAGAAATGCATATTACCAAAACAAACACCTGCATTGATTACAGTCATGCATGCACAATACACACAAGCATGGCACACCTCAAAAAAGCTCTTGTCCTGGTCTACTGGTGTACCTGCCCCATAAGGGAATCCCGATTAATGTAAACGTCTAAACTGGTTTCAGATTAGATAATTACATGCTACATTTTGGTTTATATTGTACTCTCCCTGCGGGGGGGAAAAAAATATTTTAAAGCAGAGTTTGGCTATTTTTCAGGCATTTTTTAAAATCTATTTAAATGTAATTTCTAATAAAGTAGGCCTTATTAGAGGGGGGAAAATTACGATTAACATGCGACTTACAGAATATTTGAACTGTTCCAGTGTACTGCGTGCCTGCCTGCAGTCACCAGGTCAAAGTTCGTGCAGGTGAGCGTCAGAATAAATAGACAGAGCGCGAAGAGTGCCATAATCCCTCGATCTCTCGCTTTTCTTCCCAGTCTTGCAAGATCTTCTCACCCCACGCGACGCTGCGCCGGAACCATCCCGTTCGGTGAAGAAGGGCAGGAAGAGATGCGACCTAAAGCGTAAAACTACTTAAACACGGGGTTTCGCAATCTATATGTTTGTATTAAGTGTTTAAAAAGTCAGAATCCATGGCGAAGACCCCCTCCCTCTGTCCCCATGGCGTCAACCCAAATCCAATAGTCCGATACGAGACCACCGCTGATGGTTCTCCGCGGACGGAGCAGAAATGGATGCAGGCAGATGGATGGTAGGAGTTTAAATGCGGGAAAGAGAGAAGCGTGTCCTCCCGTAGCGTTGGAGAAACTCTGGGGGCAACGAGGCTCCGTGATTGTAAAACTAATATTCTCTTTTGTTGATGCGTATCTGGTAGGATGCGCGGCAGCAGGATGTTTCACACTTACAATTGTCTGACGAACAAGTGCTCGAGCGAGTTTTATTCGCTCTCTTTGGCCATATCCACCGCTCTCTCTCTCTCTCTCTCTCTCACACACACACACACACCCACCAGCGCGCTGTTTGGTAGGCTGTATGGGAAGCCAAACAACTCAAATGTGGGACGAAACAGCGCGGTATTCAAGTGTTCGCGCCGCGCTGACCTGTCATAGGCGCGGCTCAATGGACCGAGCGGCGCGACCGACTCGACAGCGCAGAGAGGACGTGTTTACTAGCGCCACCGAACTG